AATATTCCAAATGTGGCCTAACCACTGACCTGTACAATGATGTTATAACCTCTTTAGACTTGTATTCAATATTTCTGTAGATACAACCTAAAATCCTACTTGCCCTATCACTAGCAACAGCACACTGCTTGGATAGCTTTAGAGACTGATCAACTATTACACCAAGATCCCTTTCCTTCATAACACTGTTAAGGTTACTCCCATCCAAATTATAATTATAATTGAAATTAGGATAACCCACATGCATTATTATAATTAAAACCCATCTGCCATTTATTTGCCCAACTCACTAAATGATCTAAATCCTTTTGTAAATTAGCAGCATCCTCTTCACAGCTAGCAACACCCAAGACCTTAATATCATCTGCCAATTTAAGTAATTTATTGACTATCCCTTCATCTATGTCATTGATGTAAATCAAAAAGACCAAAGGTCCTGAGACTGAGGCCTGAGGTACCCTACTTTTGACATTAATCTAGTTTGACTGAACTCCATTTGTAACAATCTTCTGCTTTCTTCCATCCAACCACTCTTCTATCCAATTTGCTAACTTATCCTCCACACCTATAGAGCTAATTTTCTTTTATAAGTCTTTTATATGGCACCTTGTCAAATGCTTTTTGAAAATCCAGACACACCAAATCTACACCCTTACCCTCATCTACATAATCAGTGACCCTTTTCAAAGAATGTTAAAAGATTTATAAGGCAAGATTTTCCCTTAGTGAAATAATGTTGACTTTGTTAAATGACTTTACAAAGCATCTTTTAAGAGACTTTCCAAAATTTTTCCCACAACTGATGTAAGACTAGTGGGTATATAATTACTGGGACAATTTTTATCACCTCCCTTGAAAAGAGGAGTTACATTAGCTAACTTCCAATCCTCTGGTACCTGCCCACTATTCAAGGACTGACAAAAAATAGTAGCAAGTGGCTCACATATCCAATCTCATTTATTTTGTTCCTAACTCCTAATAGTAGACTAATAACTAAGCTTATTCATGAATTTAGTCTGTTTATCTTTAAATCTAACATACTTATCTTTAAAAATTAATATTTAATTTATGTTCTAAATTTATTCTCACACTCCTTGCTGCCATGACCTTCCTTCAGTTTGTGTGTTCTTAATATCCCATGCTTCTTCAGCTCTATGCATATTTATTTTAAATTAACCTTAATGAATATCTTTAAAGCTTTCCCAAACTTCCTACTGCTTTATCTACTTGGTTCCTGTTAATTAGTTCATTCCAATACTTAGCCTGAGGGTGTACTCTCTATACCTTTTAAACAGCTCTTCTGGTGTACAGTTTCTAACATGTTTCACACCTTTAAAAAAGAGAATTCTCATTACTATAGTAACTTAATTGTCAACATGTTTCACAATGTCTTATATTTTAGCAAATAGAAATTCCTAGAAGACAAATTTGAACCACTGACACATTAATCACCCCTGTTACCTACAGTCTACTGCTCTAGTGAACTGTAGCCAGATTAAATAGTTCAGTAAGTCTAATACAAAGACACAAAGCTAAAATATTGTTGCATTATGAATGTAATTTCAGAAATTTGTATGAGATTGTAGAATCACAGTTTATATTCAAAGTTCCATAAAGTAATTTAATAGTTGTGTTTCAATAGCCTAGCATCTTAATGTTACTTTAAAGTGCAGACTTAGATAGGTTCAATCACATTATCCCAAGTCACTTGCTTAATTATTTAGGGGCGTGAAATTCATAGTGCTTGATGCAAGAGACAACAAGTGATACAGTTAAATTTTGTCCACTGGAAAAGTGTTTTTGTTTGTTTACACATCATTACTAGAAAACAAACTTTGTTAGCCACTTGCCATAAGCAAAAGGTTTTTTTTTTGTGTGGCTCAACTAATTTGACTAAAGGTTGGTTGTGATCCACTGGTGGGGCACATGGCAGTGAACATGTGAAATATTATTTATTTCTTTTCATTCTGGGATAAATATTTGAACAGGCAAATTACTTTGAAAATTTTGATGAACATTGAGTCTATAGTTCTCGTAACTATCAAATGAGAATTTCTGAAAGGGCAGATAGAATATGAGTACAGGTAAAAAGAAAGTTTTGTGTTTCTGGTTATAATATTTGGATAAGAGTGGTGTGGTGACATGGGTATTTTTTTAAATAGGAATCTGAGGTATTAAGTGAACAAACGTCTTATCATATAAATTACTAAGAATACATATTTAAAAACTGGTGATTAAAATATCCTATAGAAAAAGGTTCTACAGTTCAAATTTCTCTAGATACAGGTTTCTTCTAATATTAAATTGATACTGATTTTGAAAATAGTTGGAGAGAACTAAAAAATATAACTAGATGTTAAAACTATTAGAAATGTAAACTGGATTCACACACATCAAGTTCTTGACTGTTATGCCTA